TTTAATTATTTAATTAGAGTTTAACTTATTTTACTATTTCTAAAGCTGTTTCTGTCTTGAGCTCTTTAATTATTTCATTAATATTAACAAATTTATAATAAAATTACTTGAAAAAAAATTTATTTAAAGCACAAAAAATGGTTTTTTGTATAAAATTTTAAAATAATAAATTTTATACTAATTATTAGTTAAGTTTTTGTTAATTAAAAGATATAACAATCTAATAAAATAAACAAGCTGTCAACCTTCAAGTGACAGGTCTAGAGTTCAAATTCTAGTAATAATAAAAATTTGCAATTCTTTTTATATTACAGTTAACTGTTTTTCATAATTAGTTGGAATTAGATACCTGTTAGCTATGTTATACTAGCATGACTAAAAGGTCTAGGCATTTATACAACTTTGTACAAAGAAACGCAAACTGGTACTGGACAGTAAGAACCTCTGATAAGTTCTTAGGCTGTATAAATTACAGAAACCAAGTAAAAAGACAGAATCCTATTTGAAAGACCTGAATAGAGAAGTAATTTGAACTTTTAATAGTGCTACTATAAAGACTAGACCTATGAAATAGAGCTAGAACTCATAAAGTTAGACAAAGAATCAGTCTTTGAGAAGAGACTAAATAAAACTAGCCAGGCTGCTGAGATTTATTTCAAAAAAAAAGATTACATGCCAGAAAACATATAAACCAAAAGTATGATTATAATTTATCTTTTTGAGTTATCTAGTCTGGAAGCTTGATAAAATTTAAATTAAATATCAAAGTAATAGGAATATATTGTAAAGTTAGTATCAGAATTAGGATGAACTTTACAAAGATATAGCAGTTTAATAATATTCTCTAATTGCAAGTTTTGGTTTTAGTCATAGCACTATCAGATTAGCTATAAAAATAGAATACAGAAAATTCTAAAAAATTTAGTACAAGGCCAAAGGTTTTCTATAAAGTGAACTGCTTTAAAGACTTTGTTGACCTAAAATATTTTTATTAGCATTAGTCAGAATTATTAATAGGCAAAGATAGGTAAATAAATACAGAAACTAAAATGTTTAAATAGAAAACTTACAAGTAGCTTCCTGGTATAACAACTAGTATAAAACTTTTAGACAGACTAATTAAATTAAATAATGACTAAATTTGTATAAGTGACTTCTTGTACATTCTTTTCTTAGTTGCTCTTTTAGAAGCCTGCATAAGATTCTACAGCCTGACCTGGCTCACAAATTTTTGCTAACTGGGTTAGGTTTGAAATAAAATTTTATAATTGTAAACCAAACTGGATCAAAAAATTTACAAAATTTTATAATTATGAACTAGATTAGGCCTAAAATTTTGTAAAATTATATAAAAAATTTTGTGAGCCAGGCCAGGCCAAAGAAAAAATTTAATATATACAGGCCAGATTAGGCTGACAAAAAAATTTTAACCCTAAATATGGGTTAGGCCAGGCCAACAAAAAAATTTTAACCCTAAATGCAGACTAGGCAGAGCCTCAAAAATAGGCAATTTGTAGTCATCTATGTTCTTTATGATTGTAATGCAATCATTAGCCAAATATATTATTAATAAAATCCTAGATTACAAATACTTACCTTAATATTAAAAAAAAAATTTTTTAATTATTATAAGTTTGATATATTATTATAATAAGAGTAAGTTGTATATTATGTATTAATTATAAAAGGTTAATAATTCCATATTCTATTAAAATAAAATTAGAAATTATAACATATTTTATATATTTTTTGTTAAATATTAGTATCATTTATATAATTTGTCACATGTACAATTTTTTATTATAGTTAGATAATTGATGTATCTAAAATTTAATATAAAAATTTGTATCTAATTTTTATTTAATAAAAAAAAGCTATAATAACTAGTTCAAAGTAAATAGAAATTTATTTTTTAGTATTGAAAATACCTTCTTATAAAATTTGAATAATAGTTAAAAATAAAACTGAGAATAATAGAGAATAGTAATTCTAATATAGTAGTTAGGTTGTCATTTTCCAAATAACATATCTAATATTCAAATTTTACTTATAACAAAATTTGAAAATTAATTTATATTATAGAAAACTGTTTTTTGTTGATTAGTCGAATTTAGATATCTATAATCTTGGATACAACTAATCAGGTTCTACTTATTATTAGGAGCTTAAGACATCTATATGAAGTATAATATTACATATATATAAAGAAATATTAATAACTGGTGTTGTATAAGATTTCAGTACAAACCTATAATAAGACCATCAGATGCAAAAGATCAAAAAACCAAGAAGATGAAAATTTTATTTAGAAATTTCTAAATAAAGAGGTAGTACAATTTTCAACAGTACTGTTGGACTGATAGAAGTCTAAAAAACCTTAATAAAAAATAGACAGATGTAACTAAATAATAAGATATATAAAAGAGAGTGTGAAGACCTAGTGAAGTGATCAGATTGTTAACCCTCCAAGTGATAGGTTGGATATTCAAATCCTATCAACAGCAAAAATTTGGATAATCATCTATATAATATTTGTATTATGACAACTGTTATTAATGATTGAATTAGAATATCTGTAATAACAGTTGCACTAGCATGACTGGCAGGTCATAAGGCATTTGTGCAATGTTGGAATTATACAGAGGAATGCAAACCAACAAATCAGGTAATGCAAACACTAAATAAGTTCTTATAACTATGTAAATCTGTTAAAATTAAGTAACAAGAAGTCTATTTGGGAAGATTCAAGTAGAGAGGTAGCTGGATTTTTAATAACTCTACTGTAAAGGCTAGCTTGGGAAAACAGATAACAAGGTCTATTACCCAGTTATTGTAGCCAGATGGGCAAGAACCTCTGGATTGAGAGTTTTGAAAATACCACCAACCAGGCCATCGAAATAAATCAAAGAAAAAGAATATCAGGCTGATCTGATATACTGATATATTAGTTATAGTTATATATAGGCTATCTGGATTGGAAGTTTGGTAAAAAGACAGAAGAAAAGGCAAGGATATACTAAAGTACTAGGTTATGCTATGAAGTAGATACTGGGATCTAAGTGTACTCTACAAGAGCATAGCAGTTTAATAGTTAGTCCTAATTGCAAGTATTGGTTTTGCTATAATAATACCTAAGTTAGCTGTAAAAATAGATACAGAAGGCTCTAAAGGGTTTATCTCAAGAATAAATTAGTCCTAAGATTTAAATGATGATCTGAGCATCTGAATATGACATAGTAAGTTAATACAGGTTACAGATTCAGAGGGTTTAAAGTAGAACATCCAAGCAAGAATGTTAGATATAGCAATTAGTAGAAAACCTTTGAGCAGACTTCTTAAATAGGTAATATGAAAAAGTTATACATGTAGCCAATTGTACACTCTTCTGTAGTAGTTTATTAAACCATAATACCAATAAGTAATTAATAAAAGTCAAAAGACCAAAGAGGTCATCTTAATACCAAAAAAAAAAACAAGATATATAAAAAAACATATAATTAATCAGAATGTCAAAATCATTAAACAAAAAGGATACCAAAAGTATACTATATTAGTCTATCTGAATTGGAAATTTAAAAAGTCTATCAGATTCTAAATTAAATAATAGAAAGATAAAAAGAAGAAATCAGAAAGATAAATATCAAAATTTGGATAAATTTAATAAAGATAAAAATTATGTAATATAGTGATTAAACAAATAATTCCTGTAATTGTAAGTAGTATTAAAATATAACCTGTTATAATTTAAAACCAATTGTCAATTATGATCTTATAACCTGTTATGTCTTATAAAATTTACTAATACATTATAATCATCTTGGGTATATAAAATTTGTTATGACCTAAAATAATCATCTCTAATTACAAGTATTAAGTAACTATAACATGTTATATAAAACTAGGTTAGTTATATGTGAGATATAAAAGACTTTAATAACAATACTTCTGAAAATACATTACATGAAACAAGATATAAGATTCTAAGAATATGGATAAAAATATCTAAATCTTATATACTGAAAATAATTTATTGACATAGTAAAAATTACAATACAAGAGGTTTAAATAAGCAATGCCTCTAGTTGGGTTGCAGGCATAACAGCTAGTATAGAACTATCAGTAAACTACTTAAATTAGACACCAAAAATATATGTGTGACTAACTGTACTCTCTAATGTAAGATGACTCCTTTAAGGCTTTAGCTGTAAGTTCCTATATCCTAATTACTGAATAAAATCCTAATTCCAAAAGAGACTAGTTTAATATCCAAAAAAAAAAACAAAAAAAAAAACTAAGAATAAGTCAAGGTCACTTTATTAGACTCAAGTCTAACTTACTGATTCTGACTAACATACATCATTGTTTTGATCAAATGAGATGCGTCATTGTTGTGCTACATAGTACAGCAACAAAAAAATTGGTGAACTTTGAGACCTTGATTATTTTCAGTTTTATTTTTAACCATTATTCAAATTTTAAAAGAAGGTGCTTCCAATGCTAAAGAACAAATCCCCACCTACTTTGAACTAGTTATTACAGCTCCTTTTCACTAAATAAAAATCAGGAAGCATATTTGACGCAAATTTTCATATGAAATTTTATATGCGTCAATCATCTGACTATAATAGAAAATGTTATACCCGTGATCTGCGTGACAAATCGGGTGACTGGTATTAAATTTTCAGGCAATTTTACATAAAACCATTAAATAGTACAGCGAACCCTCCATAAGTGCATGCTCTTGGAATCGAACTTTAACGACGTGCACTTAGAGAACAATAAGAAAAGGTGCATTCATAGAGTCAAGTATATATTTTGGCACGAATTTAAGCGTGAATTTAGAGAGGGAGTTCACTTATAAAGGTTTTACTGTATTTGAAAAAATTGTATAATAGGTACAAGCTTTCAATATCTTATAATCGCATTTTATTACATTTTATTCATTTATTTATAAGTAGAAGTAGTCAATAAAAACAACCTTTCAAACTCTTTTGCAAACGTCATAAACTTGTTGCCATCTTCATCTTCCCTTTTAGTAATAATGTTAAAGCATTTTTGACTCAATTCTCCAAATAATAAGTCATTAAGTAATGGATGTAATTGTATTATATCATGTGTTAACTTATCGATTATTATTCGGACATCTTATATGAAAGTTATAAATTGATATAAGATTAAAAAATATATTGATAAACATAGATTAAGTTATTATTTACCTTTTGAAATGCTTTCTGTGTCTGATACAAGTTCGATCATCACTGAAACTGTTGTTATCACTCTATACATAACAATAAACACATTGAGACGTGAGGTAAAGCCAATTGGTCCATTCTTGTTGGTCTTAGTGGAAACAAATAGATAAGAAATTATTTAAAAAATTTTTAAACTAACTATACATGTAATAAAATAATCTAAATACCTGTACTTCGTGTGAACTTATAAACTCGCATACCATGATTAATTGTTTGACACAAAACTTCGGAATATCCTTTCTAAACATTTCAAGAAACTCCAATCTATTTCTTTCCTTTTTTATAGCCGATAATAGATATTTATAAGCCAATTGAATATCAACCAAATCTTCTTTATATATATTTGGATTTTCTATAGCAAACAAAACTCTAGATGGCGTCAGTTCTGATTTTAATATCTCATCTTTTCAAATAAAAAGTAATGTTATAAAATGTTAACACTTGTTCTTTAAGTAAAGCACTACGTATAGAACATTTATACCTGGTTTAACATCTCCCGCCAAGATTTGCAATAACGCTACATATAAATGAACTGATCTAGAATATTGGTTTGTCATGTATTCATAACATAATTCTCGTGCCCTATCACAATTAACTGGATCCTTTTAAAAACAAAATAAAAATAAACATAAGAACAGGAAGTTATCAATTTCGTATTTACTTAAATACCAATGACCTAATAAATGGCACCGACCTCCAAACCCATAGCTTTGGATACAACTAATGCAGTATTTCGACGTAAATCAACATCATCATCCTTTTTGATAAAAAAAAATTCAGAATTAATGTTTAGAATGAAGTAATCCAGTTAAAGCTACCTGAGTAAGCCGAATGAGAACAATATATAAAGATATGAAATATTGTATATCGTCATTATTAGTAAAAATAGGTTCTTTTTTAAACAGAAGTCTACTAAATAATTTTAATGATTTTGCAGCTGCTTCACGCCGAGTCAAAGTCTATGGGATAGATATTTTAAAAGTAGTTTTAGCAAATGTAACGTATATAAAATAATTTACGAAGCTACTTACAATTTCAGATTTGGTATTTTTATTTATATGTTCAGCCCATTTTTTCAAACTCAATGACTTGAATTCATATGGCAATGAAGTTTCGTTCCATATCTAGTATACATAGAAACTTAGCTAAGTAAAATCCATTCGAAATTCATGTCGAATATTAAAAAATTATAACTTATCATTGCGCAAAGATATTTACTTCAGCCATCAAAGCTCCCAAAAGTAGTAGCGTAGCTTCAAGTACGGATGAACTCTTAGACTTTTCCATATATCGAAACAATTGTTTGCAAAATTCTTCCAAATTTAACTTAATTGAAGGTTGCTGCGATGATATTAAATTTGATTTTGGAAATGGATAATCCGAATTGATTAATACAAGTAACTCTACTATGAGCTGAAAGCACTCCGAGCATTGTTCTTCATGATATATCATTATAATTAATTTTGATTGAATCACTGATATAACACTGCTTTTAGAGAGTAAATATAATATGAAATATGGAAGTAAATTAAATAATTAGCTATGTAAAGTAGAAAATAATATGCTAGAATAGCTGTATTTTTATTAAACTTATCAATAAACGTACCTTGTACCGATATTTATAGCGTCCATCTCAAGAAAATATTCCAAAAGTATTTCCAGAGTAGTAAATCTAACTTCATATTCTTCATCACTCAAGAATTTTATTATAATTTCGTTCTTTTTCATTGTGTCTTGATTGTCCTGATTCAACAGTGATTTAATTATTACTTTTACCATTTGTCGCCGAGTTAGAAATCCTCCAATGTTCAGAGTAGTATCAAATTTGTCAAAAATATTTGATAAAGAAAAATCAAATATGGCTTGTCTTATTTTTGCAAACTTTTCTTCCATCAAGGTTATTAACACTTCAATTTTATCAAAAATATTAGTTCAGTTTATTTATGCTTAAATTAATTATATTAATATGAAATCCAATTTGGCATACCTAACCGCTTCCTCTTGTCCTGTTCGTTAAGTGTCCATTTAGAATCAAATACAAATTCATTGATTATTTCTAAAAATAAATATTTAGTAATTTCACAAGGATTTTCATAACAAATTACGGGAATCTTTGGCATTATCATTAATTCCATTTTGTTTATAAATTCTTTAAAACAAATATATATATATATATATTAATGTTAATCAGACAATATAGTAAATGTATTATGCATATGATAAAACTAACCCTTTGTCAAATCAAATCCAATAAGATTCCTACTAAGATGTCCACGCATTAAATATTGTATTTGAACCAATCTCCCATGTAATTCATTTTGATTACTTATTTCGCATGCATTAAACAATTCGATACAAGTAATAATTAAATCCTGTGATGCAATTAATGGAACAATTGATCTTGCGGACATTTCCCGTACCTATAAACGTACACGTTTTAATGAATTCTAAAGTGCACAAAACTGGATCAAATTATCAAATATTTAATATAATAAATTTTAATTATACTCTGTAAATTGGTGAAGAGCAACAAGATTTCACAAGCGTGACAAAAGGATCCATGTTCAATACTGAACTTTCCATTAATGACGGATGTAATCGAGATAACAACGTAAGAATCGGATAAAGTCCAGGATACACTTCCGTTTTATTATTCTATTGAATATATATGTTTAACCATAATATTGGTGAGTGACTACCTCATTCAGTATCTTACCTGTGTTGGCTTTATAAGTTGATTAACTGCAATTTTAAGTTCATCCACTAAAAAGGGATGCAATTTTGGAAACCTTGAAAAGAATTCACGGCTAGTTAATTGGTTAATAGAATGGTGTTCATCTTTTATTTTCTTTGTACCAAGAGTCCTTTGCAAAAGCGTAGAAAATAGCATAACTGAGCAATTACGAATGGCCCAACTTTTAAAGAAACAATAAATACTAAAATCAATTTTTTATGAATGGCCAATCTAAAAATCAAATATTAAAAAAAATACCTATATGAACAAAACCCATTAATAGCCAACATAAATCCATCCGAAACATAAGGTAAAACATCTGCTCCTAATTTAGCATCCATAAATATTGTTCTCAAAATATTAAAGGAATGGACTTGAGGTAAATCAATAGTTTGTTGATCAACGTCTCCATCAGGTGAAATTTTTTGGGAACCAATGTCTAGTAAAGTTTTCATGGCCCATGGAAGTAGTATTTTTCGAGTGCTTGGTTCACTACTAACTATTGCCAAGATGCATAACGGAAGGCCAGCACTTCGACGAGTTATTGATATTGAATTCGTTGTTATTGCACAAATGTCTTCCTTATCATATCCGAGGAAGTGGTATTAGTGTGTGTTAAACGATGAATAATCAAATGTAATAGTGATTTATACCAACTTTAAGCCACGTTTTAGGCAATTCAACAAACTCTATTTGCGGTGAATCTAGCAATCGAGAACAGACTAATACATATCCTGGATATACTGCTGAAAATGCACCCCTATGGCGTATAGATGTCAATAACGTTCGAAATAATGCACCTCCATCTCGAACTTGTTCATAATTAAGTATTGCTTCCTACAGAATAACAATAAGAGTATAGTTATGAACGAATGAATAACGGATATTTGGAAATATATGCAAATTACATTATCTATTAAAGTAGCAGCCATTGGCGCTCTCGATAATATTATGGCCAAGAGAGCGCTGTATAATTAAAATGATTAAAATAGATTAAGTGAAGTAATAATGATAGATAAGTAGTTGACTATTACCTTGCTTCTTTCACAGCTCTCCAACAACAACTTAATATGACTTGATGCTTAGGCCCCTCATCACTTTCCATATCCATATCGTTGCTTGAATAAACAAATTCTTCAACAAGCTCTTGAAATGATGCAGGAACATTTCCTTCAGGTGATGGATCTGACAATACTTCAAGTACTATTTGACATATTTGATTAATCAATGAAATAACTTTGTCATGAACAATGTGCCATTCCATCACATTCGACTTTATAATTGTGGAATTGTAATCTAGTTTTTGAAATATATATTGGAGTGCGAGTAATGTTCCATGCATTGGATATTTTCGAGATGCAAGTAGTAAATTCTGAGATGCAGTTTTAATTTGCTTCTCTAAAAGTACCATTAATTTCCCAATGAATGCAGCTAAAGCATTTGTATTTATAAATATATTCAATAAGACATAAGTCGTTTAAATAATACAAAAAAGTAAATCATTTACTTGATTTATCGTTAAATTCCAAACCAAAAGAGGAGACAGAAGGACTTTTATCCAATTCCACGTCCAAATCATAACCAAGTTTCAACACATACTTCGAAAATATTAGGCTAAATATTGTAGCACCACTATCACTTTCACCAGCTCTAGTGCTAGTCATTAATTGAACTGCCCAAAACAAAATTTCCTGTACATCATCGAATGATTCAATTCCTGGTAACGGCGAAGGAAACGTTTCTAGTATTTCATATGATAACGTTCGGTTTTCGTCAAATGAATTCATTAGACAATTTAATATTAATTTTACATTCCTAGCTGTAACAAGCGGAAGCTGAAAAGGAAAACTTGACGACTCATTTTGTTTATCTACATATTCTTTCGTAAATGAAGATTCATTACAAAGACCAAATATTCTGATTAATATGATAAATATCTTAAGCGCGCAGGACACTCTCTGAAACGATGCACCAGGGTATAACGAAGCAACCAATAATTCAATTAACCAGTTCAAAAAATTTTGCGAAATATCAATCTTATGTTTTAATTGCTCTGCTTCCAGTAACGCTTGTGAAACCTTTATATTCTTGGTAGTGGAACGGTTATTTTCTGCATATTTTAAGAGAGATTTATAATCTCTCCATTGAGCATACAAATTTCCTTGAAGTCTAGAAAATAATTTATTCAAATGCCCATACATCTTCTGCCTAAATTCAGGAGAAGTTGAATTCAGATTTAATTCGAAAAATGATCTTAAAAATGAAAGTTCAGTTGATGTCACTTCTGTTATTGATTTTTGTGATTCACTGATTAGGCCAAGAACGTCAATTCGAAGATTTGAATCTATATGATATGTCGCATTACGAAGAGAATGTAGCTTGATCTTTTTATCATCACATGAATCCGATTCATCTAAAGAAATGAAACAACTTATTAGTTTCATTGAATTTAAAATCATTTATTACAAATTTTATTAATATTTGTAATTAATACCTTCGATCAGCATTCTACCATCAACTAAATCCAATGACCTGGCAACTTTAATGATTATTATTAAAGCATTTAATCGATAACGTTCATCTTTCACGAAATCATTTAAATTATTCGATGATTTATTATATTTAATTATATTCAAGATTTTCCAGAATGATAGTGGATCAATTTTAAATAAAGGTTTTAAAATAAACCCGCCAATATTCTGACGTAGAGTGTCGTTAGGTGATGTAAGACATTGACATACGGGTGCTAACCATAAATCAATCCAATCATTAATTACAGCCTATAATTATAGGAATACGAACATTAAATGAAGTTCATGATCAAGAATGTATATGATTATAATTCAAACCTCTTTCCGCATTTCATCAGCTTTTTTCTTTTCACTATTAAGTTCAATTTGTTTAGTAGATGTCTCTAGCAACTCTTTTAAAGACCATTCAAAGAAAGACGCGAGCAATTGAGCAGATCGTGGCGCAATTGTCGTATTATGTAATATCTCCAAAGTCCGCTTCACAAAATCCATTTGAATCCTAAGGAAAGCATTTGTTCCGACTCTAGGTAATAGTAATAGTAGCAGTACATATTTAACTTTACGGTATGGGTCCATCAATAGTAATTGGTTTAACAAATTACTGAAGAATTGATTATAAAAATCGTCTGTATTTTCATATTTTCTCTTGATACTTAAAATATCCAATAGTTTTTCAAAGATAGTCTTCACCTATTAATGAAAAGAATATTACTAAATTATATTAAATAAAATTATAATACAACCATTTTAAGCACCTTGTATTGTATAGCATCAACAGGGTCATCACAATTATTCCAAACATAAGACATCAGTTTATCTAAGTTCTGAGAATCAAATATAGTCTGAATTTCTAAAACCTCATTATTCTTGACGTTAGAATCTCCCAAGATAATTTCAGTTTCTTGAAGCCACATTCCCATTGTTTCAAATGCAATAACTTTTGTTTGAGAAGTAATTGCATTATCACAAAAATAGGTAATACTCAAGAATAATATATGATGGAGTGATGAGGATTTACAATTACTACAATTTTATTGCAAAACAATAGTAAATCATTTATTTAACAACATATTTGATAATTTGATAGAAATTACTGAAGCCAAACCTTAAGACAGGAATTTTTGATTTAAAATTTGTGATATGATGCATAAGACAAGCTCGTGATAGATTAGACAATAATCCCCGACATATAACTAGCATAATTGGACATTCGCCTTGCCAACCACTCTCCATTAACGGGGCATCAGAAGTCTGAATTCTTAACAATGACATGATTAATGACTCCTGTTCCCGAGTGATCGGCCATACGAAGAACAATGATAAAACCAAATCATTTACATCTTGTAATGAACCCAATAAATTCAAAATTGCAGCTAACGTCATTCCAGTCAATAGCCTTACATCTTTAACATATAGTTCATCAGAACATATGGTGATGCATCCATTAAATAGTTCTCTAATTTTTGTAAACTCTACAGAATTATCATTACAACTTTCTCTGATCAACTCAAACTTTGGCCTGAGAATCTCTTCAAATCTTGAAAACAAAGCCAGCAAAGTTTTTATTACATGTTGAGCATCGTTCATATGTTGAGAGAACATGAGTGAATTAGAAAATATTGTAACATCATTCATTGGTTTTGATTCTTTCTTACACATTCCTAACACGTTGTTACTTTCTTCCAGCTCATTTCTCACTCGATTGATGATAATCATTAAACAACTTATCAAGAAATAAATAGTTTCGAACAAATGATTCCTTACAATTGACAGCCCCAGATGAAAGTCTAACATTAGATAAATAGCAATTCCTTTTTGACATAATGTCTGTGTCGTGTAATTATCATGAGTTATGTACGCAGAATATTCTTTTGAAAATTCCAAAACCATATTATTATTCGCTTCAAAATTAAAAGATTTTATTGATTCTGCGTCATGGTTACTGAGTAATTTTGCCGACAAAAAATAGCAAGAATCAAATATTGGGATACAACGTTGTTTTGCTAATGGTTCTATCGAAGTAAAGTATATCCCTACAATTATCGGTTCAAGAACTGATTTGATCTGAAGAATGAAATTAGGTGGATGGTTTATTTTATTTAACGCTTGGTTGTGATGGAATTTTTTTGATGGTAATGATTTTTATATAAAGCAATTAAACTGTTTAATAGCCATTAAAAAAAAAAACCTTGTTAATATCATGATTTAAAATTTACCGATATCCCTTAAATACTGGCATTGTTGCTCCCAGGTTGCATCAGTATTTTTAAGAAACAATGAAATCTTTTGAATACTCTCGTGTAGCTCTTGTGATGGATAAGTGGCAAAGTATGTTTCTAAGATATCGCACCAAGATGGATTAATTGGCATTGGAGCTTTTAAAGACTTTAATGGCTTGTTTTTTTCTAGGAAGCCCATTTCTGAATACCAATATGACCAAAATCAATGAAAAATGGTCATATATAGTGTAAAATTGATGTTTAATATGCTTTCAAGAAAAGGTGATCAAAATTTAATATCGATATTACATTTAACTGAGCTATATTTAATTTACGTCGATCAAATTTTTTTAACTTTACTTACTACATCAGGAACTAGGGATGTTAATCGGTACCGCAGTAATTACCAGTTGATTTTGAGCAAGATTTAAAGAAATTTAATATTTTAACTAGTATTCGTTCAATAGTAATGTTATAGATAAGAATTTTCTAGTGACCGAACAGTATGGAGAAAATTTAGTTGATCGGTCCCTAATCGATTCCACCTATAATGCAAAACAGATAAACTTTTATTAGAGAATGTTTTAGAGAAATAAATTTTCTATAACTTTACTTATTGAACAAACACTTGTTAAAAATGTCAATTTTTTTTACAAATCTTGCTTAAAGTTGGCTAACAATTACTGCAGAACCGATTTCATCAAAAACAGTATTTTTTTTTTTGTTTGGTATTAAGGTAACCTTTTTGGTTTTTTGATTTTTATTAATGATTTTTTTGATGATGTGATTCTATGAACCACTACAGGAATATTGTACAATTAGCTAAAATGTATAACTTTTCTATATTAACTATTTAAGAAGTCTGCTTGAAGGTTCTCCATCAATTGTTATACTTAACACCTCTACTTAAATGTTTTATTTTAAATCTTTTGAATCTGCAACTTGTGTTAATATTACTGTGTTATATTTAGGTCATTATCTCAATCTTAGGATTGTTTTTTTTTTGTGTTAAATCTTTCAGTACCTTTTGTTCTTAATTTTTTAATTGATTTAAGTATTATTATGTCAGAATTAACCTTTGCAATCAGGATTAGTTATTAAATTGTTATGTTCTTATAAAGTTTACTTAAACTTTAGCATTTATTTTACAGTATATATCTAATATTTTAGTATAATTTTGTCTGTTTTTCAGATTCTTAATCTAGATAGTTCATATAGAATTATAATTAATCTATCAATATTATCAACAGAATAAATATATAAAATATTGCAAAAGATTTTGTATACTGAAAAACTTTGAAATAACTGCAATTGATATAAAATTATTTTGAAATAAAATAATTTTGTAATATTATAAAATA